CGGTGGCAACACACCTTAGGTTTCCATTCAGTTTGCCATGCTGATTACATGGTGGTATTTTTACCTTGCAGCTCGGAGCTTCGTCGAAAAATGCAAGTATTGCTGCTGGTTTTGTGCCTCACTGTATGTCGTTTCAAGGTGAACTCTGCAGAGAGATAGCGTGTTAAGTTAGAGCAATTCCATTTGTTCTTGTCACGGATCGAGATGTCAGAGGAGTCGTGCTTTTATTAGTGCCGCTGAGATAAATGTCAGTCTCTGTAGTCCCTGTACACTCTGACTGAATGCAGTATTTATGAAGTTGGAGCACGCGAGGCTGCACACAGGACTGTTTGCTTCTGTTGTGTCTGTGTGAAATGTTTGTCGTGTATCAACAGCCGGCATACTGCCTGACCAGAAACACCATTCCCTTTCTCTTTTTCTTTACACTCTTCAGCACTGAACATGGCTTCAATCCTGCAGAAGTTGATCACTCCGCTGTTCAGTGGTCCTCCTGAGCCCCCTAGGAATAAAGTGACAGTGGTAGGCGTGGGCCAGGTTGGCATGGCCTGTGCTGTCAGCATCCTGCTCAGGGTAAGAGTCCCACTAGTTCTGCCTCTTCTTAGATTACCTTCCTGCCTGCTGGTGTTACTGGACGGGGTAATACCCAGGTCCTCCTAGACTGACACTGGATTACTGATCTCTTGGTGTCTGATCTGGGTATTATCCCCCCACTGTCCTTGTTACAGAGGAAACTAAGACTAACTACTGCAGTTTAGCTTGGCTTTTGTTACTCAGCTGAAATTGGGCAGCAGCAGCACCCTGCCTATCGAGTACTACAAGCAGCAGGTTTACCTTACTGTTATACTTCAAAATGAGAAATCCCTTTAACTAGATTTTAATACCCATTATACTGTGTGTACATCTTGTTTTATCTGAACTGAGTTTAAACTTCTAAGTTGCAGCTATTTTAAGTACTAGCCCCAATTGCAAAAGGCAGTTATGCTGCTGAATGTGTGTACTGTGAGCGGAGGCATTGATGTGTGGATTGTTCTGATCTCCCTGATGTTTGCAGGAGCTGGTTGATGAGCTGGCCCTGGTAGATGTGATGGAGGACAAGCTGAAAGGAGAGATGATGGACCTGCAACACGGCAGCCTCTTCCTGAAAACCCCCAAAATAGTCGCAGACAAAGGCAAGTTTATATCCCTCACATGCCATGAAACTCAATCTCATAACTCCGATTGAATTAACACAGTTCCAGTATTTACATAGTGCTGCTGACTGGCAAGCACTTGAAAACTTGAAAGTGAGGAAAAATCTGTTCACTGTTATGACAAACTGAATTCCCCTTTATTTTTTTTGTCCCAGATTACTCCGTTACAGCTAACTCCCGCATCGTCGTGGTGACAGCTGGAGTCCGTCAGCAGGAGGGGGAGAGCAGGCTGAACCTCGTGCAGAGAAACGTCAACATCTTTAAGCACATCGTCCCCCAGATTGTCAGATACAGTCCTGACTGCATCATCATTGTTGTTTCAAACCCAGGTACTGGCTGCCACACTTCATTCTGTTTTCTCTGTCAGACGTAAGGACATACAGTATTCACCCTTTAGTGCTGCTAAAATCGCTCTCTAACAGTCGATGTGCTGACCTACGTGACCTGGAAACTGAGCGGCCTTCCCAAGCACCGCGTCATCGGGAGCGGCACCAACTTGGACTCCGCACGCTTCCGTTTCCTGATGGCCGACAAACTGGGAATTCACCCCAGCAGCTTCAACGGATGGATCCTAGGAGAACACGGAGACACCAGTGGTGAGGATTTGTGGATTTTCTGCTTTGTTGGTCCTTTAAACTAACTGCCTGTAGGCAAACAAAAAGAAACAGTGTGTTTCTAGGATGGCGTAGACTGTGTTAGGTGTGTGGAATGTGGATGAAGGCTGATTGTTCCAACATGTGTGTTAGTGCCTGTGTGGAGCGGAACAAATGTGGCTGGAGTCAACCTGCAGCTTTTAAACCCGGATATCGGCACCGACCTCGACGACGAGAACTGGAAAGAGACCCACAAGATGGTGGTGGACAGGTAAGCTGGAGGTCTCTTAATTTGCTGTTTATTTGCTTTGTTGATTAAATCCTCTGAGGTTTTTCAAATCACCTGCTCGTAGTGGGAAGATCTCTCCTCATGTGTCACATCACTCTATGCTATGACAACACACACACATCTAAATATTTATTATTATTCTGCCTATTTAAGTCAGGGTTTTCCTGCATGGAGGAACTTTTGTACCTTCCAAGAAAATTATGCCAAAGGAAAACCAGTGCCAAAATAAGAAGCCAGAATAGTGAACGTTTATTTAATGAAATGGTCAGAAATAACAGAAAAATGCATTATGTCTGTCAAAGAATGTAATACAGACTTCTTGTCTGTACTTTACACAGACTGATCATGCTAATTTTCAGGTGTTCACGCCTCAATGGCCTATTCTGAGCCAGGAAAAACTCTTTAAATGAGGGACAATGTGAGATTAAAGTCAAACAAAAAAAAAACTTTTTATGAACTTATATTTTTAAATTATAAGAATGTTCAGCATATTTTAAAAGACAGTATCTCTGAATAATACATTACAATGTGATATTTATGGCCTATCATTTTTATCCATATTGCTTGCCCCTGACACCTGCACAAAAAGTATTAAATTAATGACACAACAATAAGGCTTTTTGTGGAAATTACGTTTGTAAGATTGCCTTATATTTAGACTTTGAACGCTGTCCCTCTGTCCAAGTCTCAGACTCTGTTGCTGTCACACACTCCCTCTCTCTGTTTCTTTTATCAGTGTAGAGGACACAAGCAGCACTCAGAGGGAAAATCTGTTTTTAACAGTTTTGTTGAGTTCTAAGAGTTTATTTTTATCTCTTCACATCACAGCTTTAAGACAATTCAAATTTAGGTAACAATAGCAAGTCAAAACAGCTCCACTGTCCTAACTTGCTTTTTTGGTATCTAAGCCATGTGTTGTGTCTCTTAGTGCCTATGAGGTGATCAAGCTGAAGGGTTACACCAACTGGGCCATTGGTCTGAGTGTCGCTGACCTGACTGAGAGCCTCATAAGGAACATGAACAGGATTCATCCCGTCTCCACCATGGTGATGGTAAGAGGCATTCACATGCGCACACATTCATTCGTCCTTTGAGTCATTCAGGTTTACTGTATGTATGTCAACAGCTTAATAATTTTTTGTACATTCAAAATGTATAAGGTGAAATCTGATGAATAAAATCCAGTTTTAGTCCCAGTTTTGTTTTTAAATTGAAACTTTCCAGTTATAACATTACAATAGTCAGATTAACCTCCCTAATTAATACCACTATAGGGTCTCAGTCTTAACACACATTATGATTGATTGATTGATTGATTGATTGATTGATTGATTGATTGATTGATTGATTCCGCCCTCTTTACCCTAATATTTAAAGTTGTTAGGCTAATTTGTAACACCAATCAATTGCTTTCTTCATTTTTTTTTTCTGGAAAACATGAAATGGCTTGACTTTCTTCCTAGTTCCCACTTTCACTTTTCTCATTTTGGACGTAACTCAAATATTTGCAGTTCAGATCCAGTGTAGCACTAGTTTTTGCTTATGACGGTATATCCACATACAGACCATGTGGTTCTGCATCAACAGGGCATGTATGGGATCAGTGACGAGGTGTACCTGAGTCTGCCCTGCGTGTTGAACAGCGGAGGCGTGTCCAGCGTGGTCAACATGACCTTGACAGAAGACGAGGTGGCTCAACTGCAGGCCAGTGCCAGCACACTGTGGGACATCCAGAAGGACCTGCAGGATGTCTAACTGACCAGAAGAGGGCGACATAGCAGCATCTTCCTGACTGCTCATGGCCTTCAGTAATTTCACTCTGCATTCACTACCTACCAGACAGCTCCACCGTCCACACCTTCAACCCACGGCCCTCTGTAGATTCTCTGGTGTTGAGGGGTTTAAACCTGTCAGATTTAGCTGTAGGTGTCAGTTTGTACACTTGTACTCGCTGGAGAGAAAAACCAAAGGTGACATAGACTGAGAGAAATGCTCCGACTCATTTATCTTCAGTTGTGTAGCACTGTGGGACCGTGTGTCACTCATGTTGCTTTGAAGTGTAATAAAGCAAGCTGGTTGGTGCTTGAACAAGACTTGAATTTTTTCAGTTATTAATTGATGAATGGAAAATATACTGCATGATAAATTTTGTAACACAGAGAAGTACTGTACTATAGACATCTATCATCTGTTTGAGCACATGAGCGGGCTAAAGCTGAAGGTGAGCAGCAGAGCAACAAGTGTACTGAAACATTCAAGACCAGGTGATGATAAAGTGAAGTAAATTCTAAGATACTGTGGAAACTGATTTACAGACCAACTTCTTCTGTGGATCATTAACTTCTGTCAATGGATGAAGTCAGTCTTTTTCTACATACTTGTTTTGTTGATCTAAAATCCTTTTTATTGACACAGTAAATATTTGATTTGGATTTACCTTTAATGCTTGTTCAGCCCTACATGCAATAATTAACATTTTTCTGACCTTTGTCATTCTAACAACAGCAGTAAAACTTCATCTCCTGTAAATCTCAGCTGCTCACCTCTGCTTGACCCAGACATGACTCTCTCAGTGACCCCCGTGTGGACAGTGTGATGATGTATGACTGAATGTCGTTCTGCCGGGTGTTAATCACTGTGTGGGGTGAATGAGTTTTTGCTTGAAGCATTTTTTTTTTTTAATAATCTTGTGAGAAGTGCCGCTGTTAAAGGAATCCCTTCATGTTTCACACTGAAAACTGCAAGCTAACGTAAGCAAGAAACTAATATGAATCAGAAGTAAACAGCAGCAACTTGCAGACAAGGCATTTTATTTATATAGCATATTTAATTATAAGTAAATGCAAACACATAATGAAAAGTGTAATCAATATAATGAAATGCAACAACCACATAAGAGGAAAAAAATTAAGTGGCCTTTGATCACCTTCACAAAAGGTTTATATTCAGCTTTTGGTAGTCTGGGTAATGATCTGGATTGTCTCCACCTGAGGAAGAAAATAAAGATGTTGAAACTGCAAAGACAGTGGTCAGTCAGGGGGGTGGGGGTGATGACTTGCAGAGTTTTACCTTCTTCTACAGCTCGCTGCAGGAGGTCCAGAAGAATTAAAGAATTCAGAGATGATCCCAGTCCATCGCTGTTCTGGTTGTGAGTCACTGCAAAGAAGCATTTAGAAAAGAAATAAGGAATCATACGATCCAGACATGTCCTCCAAAGAAAGAAAATACAAATCTGTGTGAAGAGTCACACGTATGTAAGACCGTTCTTCCTTCTAATGGTAGAATACATCTGTAGATAAATGTGTCCCCTTTGAAAGCAGACTCAAATTTTGGTGAGATAAATACTTGGTATCAATCATCAACGTTGGTAATATAGGAGTTTGTTCATGTTATACCAACAATCCTTACAAAAATCCACAAGTGAACCACTCATTCACTTCAGGTTTTGTCTTTTACTGTAATCCAAAAGGTGTCCACATTATGAAAAACAATGAGCTGTACCAACAGAAGGAGGACCTCATTTGGTGCCATTTGTCTAGTTTTAAAGTAGGAAACTGCACATACAACATCTTGAATTCTCAAATGGGAAGAGATGATGATGCCAGAAAACCACTCCCAGTTCAGCTTCCTCCGATTAAAAGACAGACAAACCTTTTTTTAGAAGTTTGTTTATTATTCTCTGTCCCCGGTATTCAGAGATTCTATTTCTTCCTCTTCAGGTGGAAGTGTTTCCTGATTTAACATCAAACAGGTCTTTAATAAGAAACAGCTGTGACTGCTCAACCAGATGTGCATCCAGAGCAAAATAGAACTACTGTTATAGATGTGCACACAAAGTCTTCAACATGTGTTAAAGAATTGACATTTAAATAAACCTGCTGATTACAAACAGAAAGAAACTCCAAATCTGTCATTTGATCTGTCAGTGTTTAAGAACAACAATATTTATAAGATTTCTGTTGTATATGCTGTTGATTAAAGCCAACCTTTAAATAGTGTTGCAATTAGTTCTGGCAAAATGTCTAATGTTAGATTGTAAAATTAGAATATTGTATTACTGATTGTCAAAATGTATAACCGATGCACAAAAAAAAATGCATCAACACACTTAGGGCGAGAGCGTCATTAATACCTTTATGGCAAATTAAAAACCATTCATTACACAAGAGTCACAATACAGGTCTGCATAATGAAGAGACAGAGTTAAACCTCCAGTGCAACATCATTTCCACAAGTATAACTTACAGTAGAAATGGTAAACATGAGAAACTACAAAATAAAAGTAATCCTTCATATATGGTGCAGCAGTCTATGCACTCATTGAGGAAAGTCCTGGTAAAAGAGTAATAGCTGCCTTTACAATTAAAGTTAGCATTGTGTAACAGTCATAGCTGAAACAGCTTTTGCTGCAGTCTGTAAGTAATGAAGGTAAAGTGCAAGAAGTCCAGGAAGTGGTCGAGACAGTTATATTTAGCAGGCTCGCAGATTGGAAGCAAGAAGCTGTTCTGAAGACTGTTTATGTTTCAGTATCTTGGTTTACTTCAGTCACCATAAAAGAGATGCAGCTTGAATGAGAGTATCTGAATATAAACTTGCCCCAGTAACAACCCTTGTCTTAATAAGTAATGCTCTTGGAACAGTGCACTGACAATAACTGTAATAACTGAGAACTAAACTCTCATTTTTAAAACTTTTCTTAAAACTATGCCTGATGAAGGCGAAGATGCCTCATGGTGGTAAGAATAAGACAGTGGGAATAGTAGAGAATGTAGGGACTGAGGAAGAGCATAGCTGGCAAGATTGAACAGGGTTATGGCCACAGGTGTTAAGTTTTAAAAGATACTATATACATAAAAATAACCACACAAGGCATGACACTATTCAGGTCTAAAAATAATCCACACTTTAACAGCAAGCAAACAGTCAGACATGAACACGTCACTGTTGCTGCAGGTGGCCTTAAACGGATTCGGTTTTATAAAACATAATTTCCCCTCATGATGAAATAAACTCCACTGTGTAAAAACAGCCTGGAAGTGTCACACCTTACATGAAAGTGATGCATAAAGCTGACATTTAAACACTGAACCTAAGTAGCCATAACACTGTTCACAAACCTGTCAGCCTTGTTTTCTCTAGATTGGCACCAGCCGTCCACCTGCATCTCTGCCACAGAAGATGATCTTCATGTCTGGCTGCAGGTGAAGGTGGTGCAGGTTCTCAATCACTGCTGCAATGAGGCTGACACTTGAGACATCACCCAGGTCCTTCCATCACATCCACTGCATGACTGAGTGAGATGAGAGGGACATCCAGCACTGCTCTTCTTCATACAGACTACATGAAGAAGGGGTGAAGGCTTTTCAGATGCGGATGCAAATGCAGATACCATGAACACTATGACTGTTCCCAATGGTCTCTGTAGCTCTCTCAACCAGATGTAGCTGTCCCCCAATGATCCAGATCATGGCTGAAAGGAAAAGACATTATAACAGTGATTAAAATATCTGCAATGGTTCTTGTATCTGGGCTACTCGGTGGTTAGCACCGTCGCCTCGCAGTCCCGATTAGGACACCCAGGATCTTACTGTATGGTTTTATCCTGTGATGCTTTCTTCGTCTTATTGAAATGCTTGTATTTTCCTGTGTAACAATAAGACAATTGTCCTTCCACAGCTGGATATTGAAGTATATTATATTATTTTGTATTCTAATGAATCATAATTTAGGCTATAGAGTAAAGGGGAAACAAAACAGCTCTGCACCTCTGTGGTATTGTAGGGAACACATGATATGATGGTCAGCCTCAGTAACATTACTTTTCCTGAAAGAAAAAACAAAATAGTTACAACAGACTGACACAGAACCAGCTAACATTAGCCTACAGTCTGTGCTGCTAACAACTGCGTTAAGATAACTCACAATACACTGAACTGTGTTTTTAATCATTTAACTGGGAAAACACGCGTTAATCAGAAACAATTTACTGTGATGTAACGTTAGCTTGGTTTCATGACCTAGTTTCTATCTGCTGCTCATCCTGAACAGCACATCGAGACGTTAACAGTTAAAACACCAATAACGCAGCATATAAACTTAGCTATAGAGAACAATTAGCTAGCTAGTGACGTTTATAGACTCTGTTGTTCATTTCACAATCACTGTAAACACTCAGTTAGAATTGTAACCATACATTTGCAGAACAACTTTAAAACAGAGTGTTAGATTTTGTTGTACTATAAGTGGCTACATGCATTTTCATGTTTAATTACACACAATAACTTCAGCTACAATAGCGTAAGGTTATGTGCTTTTTAATTGACAATAAAGTTTACCGTGACTTATGGAAGGTAATGTTGTTACCATAAGCTGCATGCAGTAGCAGCGCCTTCACACAGCAGGAGCAGGATTCAGGCCGGTACAAGTGGGCCACCTCGGTGTCCTCAGGTGTTCTGTGTATCCTCAGAGGTCATTGGGTTAACCCCGCCCCTTTCCCGGCCTCTCTTCTAAATATGGTCACTTCCGACTACAAAAAAAACAACATGGCGACCTGTCAAAGCTGCAGTGGCCAAGTGCAAAAAAATGAGCACAAAAGAAGTCGTAGCAGTCAAATTTATCCTAGAAGATTGTTCCACGGCGGGCAGACAGGAAGTTGAGGTGTTCAAAAAACTGAGGAAGCTTGACCCAGAGAAGAGCAATGTGGTCAAGTTTATTGACCATTTTACATATAAGAAACACATTTGTCTGGCTGTTGAAACGTTCTGAGCAAGTATGTATGACTATATGACTCTCGGCCACCATTTCATAACCATGAAACACTTTTCTTGTGGCCCCCCAAACCACCGTAGCAAGATGCAGGCTGCCTGAGTTACCAGTTCAATGTTTTGTGACTTCCACTGAAGACTGAAGCGTTAGTGGTTGGACTTTCAGATCCAGATTGTCTGGAGAAATCTAGAATATTCTGTCAAAGTATATATTTATTCATAGAACAAGGCTCTGCTGAGGGTGCACAAGTAAGCAGCAAGATTTAGGGACATGTTTTGTTGTGCTCTTGAACAGGACTAATTCTATCTAATAATATAAAACAAAAAAATACAAATAAATCTGACTTAACCCACATGACACTGAACTGCAAACATGACAAATTAATTTTGTCTCCCAATCCTGAAAGTTTCGGAGACACAGTGAAGAAAACACAAAGGTATAGACTAGGCCTTCAGAGCCTCAAGGGCCTCAGGCAAAACATCGAGTTCCTGTACCTCGCACCTCTTAGTCTGAGCCAGACGGTGGAGTAACACTAAGAAGCGTGAGTTCCTGTACCTCGCGCCTCTTAGTGTTACTCCACCGTCTGGCTAAGAGAAGCCATTTGGAGACCCTTTGGATACAATGAACGTTATCAGTCAGAATGTGAAACCTCAGGACTGAGATATAAACAAAGTGATGGTAGCAGCTAGCTGGTACTAGCAGCTAACAGTTGATTCTAGCTGATGCTCGCTAGCAGCCGGTGGTATGCTAGCAAAGATTCAGACAACAGGATAAAGTGACGGTTTTAGTTTTATTGTAATGTTCACCATTCACAATTTAGAATCACGGGAAAATGACGCTTTTATCAGTTATTAAGGATGTTGAAAACATGCTACTTACTTTTAAAGCAATTTTTGAAACTTTATTGAGAAAGATGTTGAGTGTCAGTGTCAGGCTAATCGCTGTATTTCATAGAAAACTTAAATCTGGTGTCTGTGGTGACATTTTTATGTTAAAACCCTGGCCATGTATTTTACGTCAATCCACAATGATCATCTTTCCATCTCGCAAGAGAAGCGAAACCATAGCAACAAAGATGGAGTAGGCTGCAGCAACTAGTATGGTGGAACCTTTGGTGGAAAAATCAAGGAAGCACCCAGTAAACTTTCTAATGCGCTAGACATATATAAATGCGTTAAGAGACAGGATTACAATCTGAAAACAAAACAAGTCTTACATATTAAATACAGCATGTCATGACTCTCGCTGCCAGGAGGGGGAGCCAAAAGTTCCACACTGCAGGTCTAAGTTAGCATACAATCATTTGGGTCTTTAGATCATAAAAACATGGATCATTGCTTGCAGTAATCAGAGCAACTTTTGGGTTGCCTTGTTGTGAAACATCCCTCTTTCTGAAAGCTTATTACTCGTTAAATCATTGAGTCAAACCTGCAGTTATGGAGGCACATAAGTTGCTTGAAACAATGGTAACAAGTCATCAGTTCAGCAGGCAAACATGTAAATGAGCTTTCAAATAAGTTAGGAGCAAGTCATCTTCAACAAGGAAACACAGAAGTTATCACTAAGTGATTAGAACTGACTTATAAGGCACTGAAAAGTTCGTTTTCCACTTTGAAAAGTTATTAAATGTATAACGATCAACAATTAGAAAGTGATACAAGCATTTAAAAGCAAAATGTATAGCTACACTGCTGTTATTTTTATTTGAATTGGGGACTGTCTGAAACTTAAATTGAATTTGTTTAAATCATAATATATTCCTAGAGCTGCATCCCATATTAGACATACCCAAATGTAAAGTGTCCCCTTCATCTCTGTTGGTGCGCTCCAATACTGAACGGTGTCCTTCTGTAAAAGATCAACATCCATCATTGTTTTCTCTCAATTTGACAAAGTAGCTTCAAACTGGGTAATTCTTTGCTGCTATTAATGTGCTCTTACGTGCTCCTTTGAGGTATAAGATCGCCTGAGGAGTCCAGTTTCTCCTCTGCAAAATAGTGAAGAAAATACTGTTCTAAATCACACTGATATTTTTAGAATTTTTGAATATTTTCTGCTAAAACATGAATGATCACAGCAATAAAAATTGGTTTTCACTCACCTGTGGTGCAGTCCAACACTGCAAAGCCAATGACATCACAAGTAGTGTGACTAGAAGAGACATTGTTGAAATCTGCAATGGCACATTATTATTATTAATAACAACAAAAATAATAACAATAATAGAATACAGTATTGTAACTTACAATGCATCCATCTTGTCAAAAAGTATATATCTCTTTTCAGGCAGTATGCATAAAAACATTTAAATACAAAGTTAACACTCACTATAGTGCAGTTGTATAAGCAGATTTAAGTGTTTATTAATGCATTTGACAACAACTATAACTCTTCCTGTAGTCACTTATTAATGCAGGTTGCTGTATGCACAGATACTGAATGACAATAGTGTAAAGCACAGTTGTAATAATATAAAATATGTGTTCATAGAAGAAGTTAGAATTGTTGACCTCCCAATTTAATAAACATTTTCCCTATATCTGCATACAACTGTGTTGTAGCATTTTATCAATCATTTAACAAACGTTTACATACTGTCCCCCTCATATTTATTCTTTAATCAGTAATAGATTATTTTTATATTGTAATGTGTTATCAACTATGTATGAAACTTTTGTACAGTGCGTACACGCTAAAGTGTTCACATTGTAAAACACACTAATTTATCTCTGAAATCTTGGACATGTTAAAAAAGGTAAACTGGCAAAATATAGCAAAAACAACAACTATTATTACTGTCCTTTTAATAATAATAATAATAATAATAATAATAATAATAATAATAATAACAGCAGCTTACCGTTAACTTGTCGTGCTCTCCAGTGGGCTGCAGCCTGTAAAAGTGTATGATTTGTGCTCTGTCCTCCTCTGTCAACTGTGTCACAATATTTTAAAAAGCACAACAAATCAACCAGCTCATTATACAGCATCATTGATGAGGTAGCCTCGTTAGGTAGCCTAATTAGCTCACACCTAGTATTTCAGCTGACAGAGTGACAGGTGCTGTTAAAGCTGTCGCTGCACATTCATCACAAATATATGAACGAGATTCAAACTTTTAAGCCTCTGAACAGCAGAGTGTCTTCACAGGGTCACCACACGAAGACGTCACGGGTGAGATTTTATGAATGAAGCTGACGTGTCAGTGAGTATGTGTGTGAAGGAGGCCTGAGGCTGGAAAACACTGCGTCGCTGCTTTCTATAAAAAGCTGCACGAGTTACTGCTCCATAGTTTGTTCTTGTCCTGTAAACTAGGAGGGATTTATTTTCGTGTGAAGTTCCACGTAAATACTGAAAATAACAAATAGGTGTTTTACTGTGGCTTTAAAAAGAGTTAACTCATATGAACAGCAAAACATGCTACGATGAATTTATGGTAAATGTGAAGCTACAGCAAGCAGCTGGTTAGCTTAAGACTTAAATTGTCACTAATCTCCTTTGTTTACACGGTGAAAAAACAGAAGAGTACAACCCACACTGCTACCTGGTTGCCTGGCAACCTCACCATGACAACAAGACTTCAGGACGGAAATGCAGCGAGCAAGATGTATAGTTTTCTAATCTCCATACAACCAAAACCTGTTGTTTTTATACAATGAACTGGACAAAGACAGGTAGTGGCGCCTCCAGAAATTTTACCCAAGGGTAGCCAGATGAGGCCAGCGTAAATCACAGCATCACACCAAAACATAAAGCCAATTCTACTCTGTTGTAGTAGTGTAGAGGCTACTCACTATGTTAATAGGAGAGGTAATAAATCATATATTAATGTTTTTGTTCTGTTTTTTTCATTTTACAGTTGATGTCACTAATTATCTAATGTGCATAGAGACTAACACTGGTATATTTAGCATTTTGGTTATTAGGGTGACCACTGATCAGTCCAGGAGAAGGGATGCTGCAGTGTATTGGAGGGGAAAAGCTTGCTCAAAACAGAACATGTCATACATAGTTTATTTATGATTTATCCATGTACAGTCAGACCATCCATCCATCCATTATCTATACACTACTTAATCCTCACTACGGTCACCGGGGGTGGTGTGGGGCTGGAGTCGGAGAGAGCCCACACTGCATGGGGAGAACATGCAAACTCCACTCAGAAAGATACTGGGACACCGGGATGCGAACCAGCAATCTTCTTGCTGCGAGGCAACGATGCTAACCACTGAGCCACCTTGCAGCCTCGTACCGTAAGTGGATGTTACCATAATTTTTTTAAAAAATTTGTTTCATTTTATTATTGTGTCAGGTCTGTTCCATTAAGCGGTGCATGGATAATGGATGGATTAGATAAAGACAGTATTTTAAAAAATATCCACTAAAACTCAGTGTTCTGTGTGCCAATTTTTAATTTTATGCTTGTTCTATTGTCTAGCAACAGAAACAGAAAGAATCTGTGAACAAATACAGCTTACATGGGAATTCAGCTGTAAAAAAAATGCAGTGTATAGATGCTTGGAGTGCGTGAAGACGCTTGTGTTCACTCTTGCAGCCAATAGCAGAACATTTGTTGTGTTGTCTTGTGGCTGAGACTTTTTAGAGTTAGCAGAAGCAGCTCTTGAAAGTTAAAAAAACAAAAAAACAGGTGGAGTCTGAGGCAGTCAATTTTTCTGAATAGTCAATATGAAGAGTTTAGTCATTTTTAATTATTTTTTATGTGTTGTGAAAAAAAAACTCCACTGATGGTCATAAGATGCAGATGAAAGCATGCAGGAACTCTCATAAATGGACCTTGAGATGAATTCGTTTTTTGTTTAATTACTGTTTCTTAAGTCATAAATGAACCTTATTGAATTTTGTACACATTCATAACACGTTCTCAAACTGTGAAAGGCCTGAACATAATTTGCATGAAAGACAACATTTTAAATACACACGTCATCTCTGATGACTCAGATGTGTTGTGATTCAGGAACTGGAAAGTTGGATTTGTGATAAAATAACGGCCTCTTTGTTATAAAGGACATTTGTATCCTTAAGCAATGGGAGACAGTGTTTATTGTATTTGAATCCACGGTAATTATACTGTAATAATTAGCCCCAATGGCAAAGAAAAATATCACACACAAGTTATAAAAGACACACTTTATTTCAAGTATGCACTTAGAAAAGTTACAGTACAACAGATCCAAGACAAGCCTCTTAAACCTTTTTATCACAACAGTTCACATTTCTGTAGCATTTAGCTCAACCTTATTTATTTTCAATGTATAAAATTAAAGTAACACTTTATAAATGAACCTTAAAAAAATCTCTCTCAGTAACTGTCGTGGCACACAATCCAGATATGTGGATGCTGTTAAAGGTTCATAAGTCTCCTCTGAGTTACACCAGTGGTCCCAAGTTATCAGTTCATAAATATCGGACTGGAATGATGCAAAAATGGAAACCAGCTTCCAGACTTTAAAAAAAAACAAAAAAACAACTCTTGGTAACATCCAGTGGCAGTCAGATACAAAACTGTTTCCTTCTGACAGAAGAAACTTCACAACGTCAGTCAAATGTCCACAAATACACTTGTGTCTTTTTGTGCAGGGAAATGTTTGGGTTCTGAAATATCAATGATCCAGTTTTATACAGTCATGATTAGAAGCTATGATAAATACTGAAACTGTTCCCCATTGTATGAACAGCTCATTGTTATACCATGGTGTTGCTCTCGCCAATTTTGTCCACCAGCTGAAAGAGATCAAGAGAGAAGGACAGGGTTATTTACAGATGGACTGAATCAGGACTTTGTAGTGACCATTTAAAGTTACAGTAATAAAGAGGATGATGTGAGATGTCTCACTAAACAATTAAGGAATCTCTGTCTATCTGTTGTGTTATGAGAATCCACCCTTAGGGAGCCAATGGTCAGGCTGAGGACCCCAAAAAGCCCCAAAACAGCCAGAGTTCAGCTGATTGACTTTTCATTGACTCAATCGACTTGACACTGCACTTCCTTGTGTCCCCAGCAGCCCACCCACCAAGTCTGAAGTGGATCAGATGTACAGTTGTTGAGAATTATGAACACGCTGATTCTTTCATTTATTAGTGAGATTAATCTGAAAATAGTTGGATAATCAACTAATTGGTTTGCTCACTTTTTAATAAAACAAAAACAACAATTCTCAGGTTTCAGCTTCCCAAACGTGACTATCTGATGAGGGTTTTTTTGTCATATTTTATAATAAACGCAATACATTTGAACATTCTGTTCACTACAGTCATCAGTACCTAGTTTTTTGAATTGGTGACCTAACAGCTTGTAAATCCTCTATATTTATTTTCTGAATGTCAATTACAGGATGTTGTCACAGCTTTTGAAGACAGCACCAAAGTAGAAGTTCCTTAATCACATTAGCACACATAATAAACAGGAAAATTGTGACAAAATTGTATCTGTGATGAAATCTCCAGTGTGTGAAAGCAATAAGTATTTTGCAACATGTTGACTGATACTCACTGAACTGATTCCTGGTAAGCTGAGCAAAGACCCGAGCACAGGAATTCGTCTGATGAATCCGACTGCCACTGGGAAGAATCCCCTGTTGAAGAGAACAAGAATGAGACGGGACCTACAAATTCACTATGATGACAAAGAGGTGTTTTCTTTCCGTTTGAGCTGACCTGAATAAGAGAAAGAAACCGTAGATCTCTAGAACAACTCCTACGATCGGCCAGCCGATCAGAACCACAAGCACCCCTCCCAGGAAGAAGCTGGTGGCTTTTACTTTGTGTCTCTGGAAGAAGAATCTGAAGGTACGCTCCAGGCCAATGACGAAGGACAAGCCGGAGACAAACAGAATCTGCACAGAAATAAACAGCATCACAGGTCTGGTGCTTCTCAGGTCCCATAAGGGAGACTTTCACACAGCGTCGTAACTGCATGTTTGATCAACTCACATTTCCAATGGCAAGAAGGGCTTTATCAAAAAACAGCACCATCCCGAAGAAGAGGAAAAACACGCCAAACCCAGTCAGCCCCATCCCAATTTCTGTGGATTTAAAGAAACAAATAAGTTATTATGTCCAAGTGGTCACATCATATCATTTACTGTTAACATGTTCACTTTAATTTTTTTTTAAATAAAAATAACATAAAATAAAAGATTTAAGGTTAAATTCCTATCAGTTTTTCAGGATGTAATTAATTATATTTTTTAAATTTAACATTTTAATGTGTTTTTTTTGTTTGTTTTATTTTAATTTGCCCCCCCCCCCCTTGTTGAAATGTGGGTTCATTTATGTTATGAGTTGAAATATCTCACAACAGACATTTTGAGTTGAGCTGAAGGTCAAGTTTTATGACTAGCCTCGGATCTTACTTCTTCACTCATTAATATTATTATTATCATCATTTCATTTTTTTTATTTTTTAATAAAGCTAAAATTATTTTTTAAAAGCTAGTTTTGAATCCATTCATTTGTTTTTCCAACTGTATGCTAAGACCCTAAAAATATTATGATATAGCTGAATCAAACTCATTATGACCTTGTTGTTGTTGTTGTTGTTGTTGTTGTTGTTGTTGTTGTTGTTGCTGAGATTTTCCCATCCGACTGATTCACAGCAGAATATCTACAGCAGTGACATTACTATGTGTATGGATGTTTCCCACAACAACATACAGGATGTAGCTTCTCTCGTCTGTTCTCCTGGACCATTTGAAGAGATGGTCACACAGGGTAATATTAACTTTATAAAAATAAGTAAATCATCATTATAATGAGAACCGCAGGTCTAGCCATCCTACACACACAACCTTATTTTGTCCAGACCACGGTATCTCACATTTTAATTTATTTTACTCTGAAATAACCGTAAAAATTGTGCAATTTCATATTAAAGTCTAAAGACAACTGGACTGATAAAGCCCCTATCTGAACACTGCCCCTGGAGAATACTGTCAAACAAATAAAAGCTTGTAATCATTGGTTAAATTGCAATTATATGCAAGTTTTAAGTCACATCTTTAATGATGCAAGACAAACACAGCAGAAACCTGTGCTTGTATACATTCACAATTCAATACAGCTTGGTTTCCTGGTATTAAAGTTTCGAGGAGCAATATTGCCAAAGCAAAATAAAACTCTACGTGTTCGTTATGTTTAGTATTTTGAACGCAGACTGACTCTTCGTTGTAAATATTCCTCACTGACGTGGAACGTAACGCCGCTCTCAGCCAATCGTGTTGGAGCCGTTAGCCTCGAGCTAAACCCGGTTTCACACTGAAACGACGCCGAGACAAAGAACAGCGGCTAAACAAAACAAAAGAAAATGCTCTTACTTTGTGAATCCGTTAGTGAAATCATTTTGGCAGCAGCTGGAGAATTTATCAAACTACAAAGAGCTCGTAATGACTGAAACTTCCTGCTTTTGATAGCAGGCTAGCTAAACTGTTGATACTACAGAGGCAGCGGTGGCCAAGCTAGCGGCTCGTGACGTCAGCACGGCCGCCGGAGCCACGTCCTCCAGCAGAGATCGTCAATACGGACAGCTGCACGTGTCGTTCCATTTGACTGGATCAGGTGTTTGTAAAGGAATACATCAGGTCTTTCTTCTACAAAAATGAGACATGGATTTAAAAAAAAAAAAAAAAAGAAAAAACAAGGACATACAGGTGTATCACTGTTTTATGTCCATTGCAGTATTTCCATTGCACATATCAATTTGTAAATATCCACCATGTCATATATTCATGTAAATACCATAGTGTGTGTGTGTAGATACAGCGCCCTCCATAATTATTGGTACCCCTGGTTAAGATGTGTTCTTCAGCTTCTAGTAAATTCAGTTTTGTTTTTCTAAATAGTATAGACCACAATGAAAAAAGAGGGAAATTCTACCTTTAATTCAAGTGCATTTATTCAGTGTGAAAGAAAAATCCCACATTAAAAAATAATTCTTTTATATCAAATCATATGTGCCACAATTATTAGCACCCTTGATGTTAATACTTTGTACAACCCCTTTTTGCCAACAATTCATTTGAGTTGAGTTGAGCTGAAGGTTATATTTTTCTACAATTTTCAATGTGAGAGAATGCTTCTGCAATAAAAATTTAATTTATTTTAAGGCTTTTAACACATCTTAACCAGGGGTGCCAATAATTATAGAGGGCGCTATATATATATATTAACATTAACAATAACATCAACAATATGTCTGCACTTTGTACTCTGTGTATACACGTGTAATGACAATAAAGTTGAATCTAATCTAATATCTAATCTAATCACCATGCTCAGTCTATTAAAAACATTAAGATAAGATGATAAAATCAAGATAATTAAAAATCCCGCTTTTGTATTTTAGCTTTATAAATGTTACTTTTTTTTTTTTATGTAATTTTGTTCACTCATTTGTAACTTAGCAAATCACATTTTTCTCATAATTTTAAGTTACCTGCTTATAAGTTAACTTTAGAAGATAACATTAAAATATCATGTATCCATACATTACAACAAAAATGTGTTTCTTTGACATTACTTGTATTGCATCTTAGAAAAAGATTGTTAAGGTAATTTTTCTATCAGTACTGGATCAAATGATCTGGACTTATATCGCGCTTTTCTACCTTAGCGGTACTTAAAGCGCTTTACAATGTTTTCTCATTCACCCAATCACACACACACACACTCATACACTAATGGCAACAGAGCTGCCATGCGAGGTGCTGCCTGCCATTGAGAGCAACTTCAGGTTCAGTGTCTTGCCCAAGGACACTTGGACTGTGGAGGGGCGGGGGATCAAACCACTAACCTTGCGATTAGAGGACAACCGCTCTACGACCGGCTTATAAGTTAACTTTAGAAGCTGACTTTTAAATATCATGTATCCCTGCTGGTGACTACATCACAACAGAATATTGGTTCCTATCACATTACTTGTATCGCATTGTAGAAAAACATTGTTGAGGTAACTTTTCTATCAGTACTGGATTATGGTAACATTTTATACATGCATTCATGTCCTGTGACTCCTGAGACTCTTCTTTTTCACTCTGCATAATTACAGTACTGCTGATAATTACAGTACTAATCCCTGTGAGGGGCTGCAAGGTGCTTGGTAGTTAGCACGTAACACCTCACAGCTGGAAGATCTCTGGTTCATGTCCAATTTAGGACACCTGGGATCTTTCTGTGTGGAGTTTGTATGTTCTCCCCTTGCAGTGTGGGTTCTCACCAAGTTCCCCAGCTTCCTCCCACAGACCAAAAACATGCTGAGGTTAATTGGTGATTCTAAATTGTCTGTGAATGTGAGTGTGCTTGTTTGTGTGGTCCAGGGTGTCCCCTGTCTGGTATAGGCTCCAGCCTATGTTGTATAGAGAATGGATGGACCCCTGTGAGCTTTATGTTAAGGTTTGATGACCTTCACTGTCTGTAAGGCATGATAGACACTTATATATAAATAAGACCCTTGCAGTTTGTTTGTTTGTTTGTTTGTTTGTTTTACTCCCTTTTGATATTTCATTGCTGTCTTTTTTATGATTTCTGTTCAAATGATTGTATGATGTATCATCACACTGCAGGTACTGACTGTTCGTACTGGGCTTTATTTACTGTACGCCTACAACCTGGGAAAACATGTAGCGCAAACTAAAGCTTGACTCAATTAATTTTACTTCCAGCTGTTTTAGTTAATTTTTTATTATTGTTATTTTATTTTATTTTTTTACATCTTAAAACCTCTAATGAACGTTTTTAGTATTTTTCTAACTTTGCTTTTTAAATATTTTTATTGTCATTGTTATCTGAGTTTCTTGTTTTTCTGCCTACATCTTTTATTTTTGTACTTACTTAGATTGTAAATGAGGCCTCCGTACCTCAACCTATTCAAAGTTTTGATAAATAAAGGTTGAATTTTATATATGTAAGTCGCAGCTTCACCTTGTCGTAACTATGACCAAGTATTTTAAAATTAGGTCATGCCTTGCTATCTAAAATGCTTTATTACTATTTTATAGGGGGGGAAACTGTGAAATCAGATTTCTACACTTTTTGGCTAAAGAAGAAAAAGAAAGCAGTGTAAGGAGCTAGTTGCAAACTTTACGGCCTGAGATGATGTACATGGTGAGATGTGCTCTTGTTGTCTTGTGTTGCTGAATAGCATGATATTCAGTATTCATTTGATTCAACCACAAAAGTCTGAGTTTTTACCAGTGAAGTGTCTATTTTCTTAGACCACAGTCAGACTATTTTAAGACAAGATATGAAAAACTGATCCTTGATCTCATCAGTCATCAGTTTTCTTCACTAGTTGGACAACCCAAAGGGCCACTAGTGCATCAAAAACTAGTTGACACTTGGTATTGGTACAATGTCAGGGTTCACTAGTCAGGCTTCTGTCTTGACTGGTTAGACAAAAGTGCCACTAGTTGCTGAAAGAGTGACTAATGGAGTTTTGGCAGTGCAATAAAATAAAATGTAAAAAAAACTAGTGCAGCCAAATGCCCAATTAGTGCTAAGACCTAACTAGTGGGGGAAAGTGATGGGTTATACGAAGGACATAGAGTAAATGTTCACACAGCTATAAATAGGGCAGTAAATTCACATTCTGCTGTTTTGCCAGCCTCTGTGTAGCTTCTGGTCACTACAAAGTCTGGCAGAGGGAGAGCTCTTTGTGTTTTCAAATCTCTGTCGAGCTGCGCATGCGCTCTATAGAGTGTTGCGCTTCAGAACTGCGCAGTGATTGCGCTGTTAGCTCATTAATTCATTAGTTTTCGTACATTTCACCAATATTAACTCCTAGTATTTTTCCACAGACAATACGGGTATCTAAATTGGGATGCTGTGTTAGTCATGGAGAATATTAAGTACACTTTTTTGCCGTAATAAGAATTGGACTCCAACTCCCATGAGCCACCGCGATACGGAAGAGCGCAATCTCTGTTTCAGACGTGTTCAAACAGGAGTTTGTGTAGCGGCAGAAGACTTCCTCGAAAATATAAACCGCAGCTCATTTGCAAATATGCACCGTGTAGTAACCCGGTTTAATAAGTGACACGTTTTCCGCCGAGTTTCTTTTAGCAGTGTTTCGTCATGGGGACTGTATTTGCTATTGTTCTAGTGTTTGTCGGATGTTGTAGCAATGTGGTGTCTCTGGAGCTGCTTGTAAGGTCAGTGACAAACTTAGACCGTCTGCGGACTCACGTCGACTTTACTGCACAAAGGTCTACACAGATCTAACTAATGTCTGTTTGGCTTCCTGCTGCACAAAATGTTTTTACTGTATCAAACCTGAAGGAGGAGGTTTCATTAGCATGATGTTAAAGGTGGAAGTCAGCTGTCTGAGGTCCTCACTGCTGGGATCAAGTTGCTGTTTCATGTTGTTGTTGTTTCAGTACATTTTATTAAGCTGTTCTATTTTTATCTGTTTTAAATGCATTCAGTGAAGAAGTCAAGTCTACTTATTTATGTACAACACTTTAAACTACAGACGTTGAGCCAAAGTGCTTTCCAATAGAAAAATAACTTACAAGCCCTACAATTTATCAGAGTATCGTACTATAAATATTTAGGTTTACACAAAGAGAGCATGATATTGGGGGGAAAAAACATTGGATTAATATTTTCACCAGGTGACTTGAATAACTGTATTTTATGGAATCTATAATTACACAATGGTTAAGATGATTTGAGAAGCATCTGCATTACAAGTAAAAAATATTTTTTTTAAAGCTTTTTTTTTTTTTTTTTTTTTAGACTTTTTGAATGCAAACTGTCTGGAACCTTTCTCATATGGTGTAACACTGACATACACGTTTGAAATAGTGTTTTTAATGTGGATGGCATTCATATCCGGCTTTACACTTGTCATACAGTGCTTTGTAGTGTGGATTTAAATGGTTAAACAAATAAGTTGTGTTGGCTTGTGTCATGGCAACAGTTGCTAAACTCTGCAGACAGAGGACCTGCTTTCAGTCATCGCCATCCCGTCTCTAGCTGGATCATTTCTACAACTACAACTTACCAGTGTTCCTTAAACACCTCACATGCAGACTGCAGTAGATGTCAGCTGGGTGGCTGAGCATAGATAACCGTCTAGTCTTCAGTCATTTACTGCTGTGCAGAAGCCAGATGTGTGAACAAGGATTACTGTGAAAGAAGTGAAATAAAGTGTTCTAATTTCAGATTTACACAAACTGAAATCAAGTGACTTTATATACACAGGCTATTTTTCATGTTCACTTAATCGTGGGAAATCAAAATTGTGGTTGTGATTATTATTCCAGTTATTGTGCAGCTCGACAACTGATACTACAATTCTGTTTGGCAAGCAATCCTTCCTTTTCTTTCTGCTCCTCATTCATTGTGGTGTGCACATGTAGAGCCTGCAACAAAATCTGTGTCTTGTAAATGAGACTGTAAAACAAAAACAACTGTGTGTATCCAAGACGCCTTAAACTGGAGCAAATGATATTCTATCAGACAGACTTCCCTTTCAGATAAGTCTTGGATATTGAGAGTTTTGTCTGAAGAACCGACCTAGTTGTAACATGATGTGTTTCAGTTGATTGGTCTTATTGCACTATTATTTTTGGAGTTGCAACTATTGTTCACATCACAATATCAATGTTGAAGTGATATACATAGTGCAGCCCTTGTGTTGACTCTGCAATATTACAAAGTGAAACACAACAAATGCAAAGATTCCCTTTTGACAAACATAGTGATGACAGTGGAGAGGAAGAACTCCTTTTTAATAGGAAAGGACATCCAGCAGAACCAGGCTCAGGTTGGCTCTACAGGTTGAGGTGAAGGTGAAGGTGAAGGGGAGGGAGAAAATGAAAGTAGAGAGAAAGAAAGAACAGATGCTAAACACTGGACATGTTAGCAGAACCAGTAACCACAGATCAGAAACATGCAGCTCTGGAGTCAGAAGTACCTGCAGAGAGGTTCAGGACGTGAGAGAACAGAGAGGACAAGGCAAAAACTACAGGAGAGGGAGAAGGGATAAAGTTAACAACATGCAATCGTGCCTACAAGTGCATGACGGGAGTGAAAAGTACCACAACACCCATGTGACTTACCATTCAAATATCAAAACTGAGTCCACCTGAACTGAGCCGTAGTCACTAATCAGAGCCACAGTGGTTGTCTCCCTAAAACAGACAGCTCATTACTTCCATCTAGCTCTTAAATACAAATAATGTTTGCCTGTTTTTTGGTACAAATCTTCATTACTTTGCTCAAGCACATGAAAAGAAATCTGATGATCTTTGATCACATGAGACCAAGATTAATTTGTTGGATTCAAACAGTGTCTAGCGTGAACTACCACAGTGATGCATAATCCTGGCAATGAGGCACAAAGGTGGCAGTTTTATAATACAGGGCTGCATGAGAGAAAAAGGTGTTGGAGGAGATGAATTTATTGATGGCACAACGAATGCAGATATACAAACTCAATTTCTGTCTGACGAGATCACTCACAGTCTGCAGACACTTGGCAGATGCGGAATATTCCAGCATCATAATGATCCAAAGCTCACTACCAGCATGATGTGTTTTTTAAGAAACTGAAACTGTCCCAATGAATGACTGGTGAAGTATGTTGCCTGACTTGAATCCAGCAGAACAACTTTAATGTAGCAACACAACTCCTCCAGCAAAGAGCTGAGTCATCTACAGTAAAGGTGGACATATGAAATACTAAATAAATAAAACATCTGAATCCTACTGTGGGGCCTGTTGATATATAGTATAGTGAATCTTAACTGTCAGTGTTCTTTTTGCATACGAGCAAATACCCAGCTGCACACCATGGAAGTGATCTAATTACTGTAAGGTGACACAATCTTGAATCATTTGACATTTAGGTGATGTTGTACATGTTGTACTGATCCTGCTGTGTACTATATTAAGACAAGGATGGAGCATATTTGGTGAGAAGCAAAGTCAAAAGTACAGTAAAACCAGGCCACCACTCTATGCAAAATAAACATTGCCAAAGGTAACCCAGGATTTAATGTGGAACAGAAGATTGCTCCAGAGTTGGGATGACCCTTTAAAAGCTATTTCCTTTTAAATTACAATTGTCGCTATGTTATGTTTTCATAAATGATGCCAAGATTGGTTTAGAGAGGGTCACAGATTTTGACAACTTTTAAGCGAAGCTTTTTATTACTTAGTTATCACATATGGAGTGATTCTGCTAACTGTGATTGCATAAACTGTGTGTTTAAAGCTACATTTATCTGTCTAGTCTTTTTCAAACTAGTGGCTGTTTTGCTGCTCCACGTTTACGCTAACTGTCATTGTGTTCTCCAGAGAGTTTCCAGGATGCGGCAACATAGTCACCTTTGCACAGTTTCTATTCATCGCATTAGAAGGTTTCATCTTTGAAACAAAGTTTGGACGCAAGAAACCAGCAATTCCTATCAAGTAAGAAATATAAAAAAAAAAAAAAGGTCTGACCTTCCTGCTGCAGGTTCGATGTAGAACTGACATAAGATCTCAATATTTATGTCTCTCTTTCCCAGGAACTATGTGGTCATGGTGACAATGTTCTTCACAATCAGTGTGATCAACAACTACGCTCTCAACTTTAACATCGCCATGCCTTTACACATGATCTTCAGATCAGTAAGGATTACTGTTTTTCCCTTCCCTTCCCTTCCCTCTTGAATGTTCCCTATTATCACTGACCATCATTTCCAACACTTCAGTCTGACCTGTGTTTGAGCTGCTGTCTCGTTTCTCTGCAGGGATCGCTAATCGCTAACATGATCCTGGGAATAATCATCCTGAAGAAAAGGTAACCCTGCTGCCTCCAATAAGTCACGCGACAACAAGTCTTGTCCATCACTGTAAATCTATGTGCAGATTGATTGCAATCATTTGTGTCTCATCATTTCTCTCTGCAGATATTCAGCCAGCAAATATCTGTCTATAGCTTTAGTGTCAGCTGGTATCTTCATCTGCACCATCATGTCTGCCAAACAAGTGGTGAGTCCTCAGCAAAACGTGTTGCATTTTCTACACTGCGTTACTGGTTGTCATGCAGTCTTAAAGAGCCCCTATCATGTACGTTTACAGGTTCATAATGAGTTTTTTGGGGTCGACTAGAATATATTTACAAGCTTGATGCTAAATAAAACGTAGCAGCACCTCTTCTCTCTCTGTCTGAAAAGCTCCTGTCTTTTAAAGGCCCCCATCACAAATATCTCAGTCTGCTCTGAGCGATCAGCTGGCACGACGAAAGCAAGGTTATGTACCATAACCCCAGATAAAGGCAGAGAGATGTAGTTCTAGCAGAAAGGAAGCTGCTCATACTAGCTGCTAGACAGGCATCATGCAAATATGTTCCATGGTGATGTAAATAAGTAACCAAAGAAAAGTCTGAACTTCAGAGGAAATGCTTTGGACAGGTAGGGAGCAGTGCAAGAGAAAATAACCGCATTGCCTTTGTAAGTTTGCTTTTATATGCTGAAAATAATTATCCCATTAAAGCTACAGGACGATCCAGTAGGCATAATATGGGCTCTTTAGAAATGCACCATTTTAACATTTTAATCATGCATGGTTGGTTTTTGTTTTTGCAGAATGTTTCCAGCGAAGGGTCAGACGATCAAGGATTTTATGCCTTTATGCACTGGCTTATAGGTGAGTCATGCTGCCGTGATTTGGCTGATCAACTGATGCATAAATTACAGCTGGACCAATAAATTGACTGATATCAGATTATTGCAGATATTATGGCACCAGTGTAAATGTCGGACTATAAATGACAAGTCACTGCTGATCTTATAGCCACCTGTCTCTACACGGTGATAGGGAATGACAATCAATATTATTATCATTATTATTCTGCTGTAGGGGGACAGAAGCTCTAGCTTGTTTGTATTTCTTTAAACCAATCACAATTATCTGTGATGAGCCCTGGATGCCTGATTTCTAGCTGTGGAGGAGCTCACTGAACTCATTAAAAGCTCAGACAGTTTGCTGGAAGTATGTGACTCTTGCATAAGTTTAATAAATCAATAACACAGAAGCCTGGGGGAAGTAAACAGATTAACAAAATGGTCAAGTCAATGTTACTGGTGTGAACCACTGCCACAGTGAAAACATCCAGATACAACTGACAGTGGCAGCGTCAGAAGACCGATCAACGTCGTAGTCCTGCGAGATGCAGTCTGGCGTCTCCCAAAGTGTGTTTATGAGTTTACAAGATTCAATGTGTAAACCTTTTTAGACTTAGGACACATAGTGTTGCTGCTTCATTAGTTTGTCTAAGCGATGACATTCTGTCATTCAGACGTGTCAGTTTTCAGCTTAGGTTGGTGCTCAGAGATTGTTGTTGCTGTTTCCTAAAGTGGAGGGTGCATTATACCTTTAATAGATATTTACATTTCAGATCTAAAACTTGTCCCCTAAGAGGAGCTAGAAAATTGATGTGGACAGAGAATGTCTGGCTGCCGCTGTGACCTGACTCTGGATAAATGGAAGGAAATGGACAAATGAGTTAGAGATAGACAGGAAATGTGGAAAAAAGGTTCAGGGGGATGACATGAGCAATATAGGTCTGGCCAGGTCAAACCAGGGACTGAGCTGCTGAGGGCATTTTTACACATGTGGTTTGTGCCCTAAACACTCTCTGCCCTTTATCTTTGACATGTTCAAATCATACAACAAATGTTGAGTGGCTAAATTCTTTCTGCTTATTCAGGTATCGCCATGCTGACATTTGCTCTGCTCATGTCTGCGAGGATGGGCATTTTCCAGGAGACGCTGTACAAGCAGTACGGAAAACACTCCAAAGAGGCTCTCTTCTATAACGTAAGCTGTCTTTGAGTGCCGACTGCCTCATCTGAGTCGTACCTTTTTCTCAGGGAGCTGCTTTGAAATGTTTTCCGCTAATCATGTTTATGTGTTTGCAGCACTGCCTGCCTCTGCCCGGCTTCCTGCTCCTCGCCACAGACATCTACAACCACTGCATCTACTTCAGTCAGAGCAGTAAGTTCCATCGATTGGTTCGGGAAAGCCTCTGTTCATGGCTTTAATTGGAGATATAACCAATGTTTAATGTTGTTTTCTTTTGCAGCTCCTGTGCTCGTTCCTGTGGTTGGATTTACAGCGCCGATACTGTGGATCTACCTGCTGATCAACGTCATCACACAGTATCCTGCCGAGTGTTTGTGAACTTTGTTTGTGTTGATTTATGCACTGTAACATTTAATGTGCAATTACAATAATTCCCATCCTGCTTTTTCCAGATTTTGAACTTGGATGATCTGTTTAAAGCTCAGACTGCAGACATAGTCTTCCTGTGACAAGTAGAGTGAAAGCATTTATCGAGTAGCTGTCATCAAACTAACTATTTTGATTAATCAGTTAATCGTTTTTTGTTTGTTTGTTTTTAGCAAAAAAACAACCTAAATTCTTTGATTCTACCTTTTTAAATCTGAATATTATTTTCATCTGAGACAGTAAATTGAATACTTTTAGATAGTGGACAAAACAACATATTTGAGGTCATCTTGGGTTTTGAGAAACACAGATTGGTATTTTTCACCCTTTTCTGATATTTTATTGATCAAGCAACTTATCACTTAATTGAGTAAATAGCCATCAGATGAATTAACTAACAATAATCATACGTTGCAGCTCTATTGAAGAGAGGCTTGAGCATCACTTCAAATGTTATTACTGCTTTTGCCTTAATTGATATTAACAATATAGTTGTTTTGGGTTTTTTTAATTTGGTTAAAGTTTTGTGCAGCTGCATTTGTTAAATCAACTCAAACAATAAATTAGAAATGCTCATTGTGGTACTCTGCAGATCTGCCGATCATCATACGCCCAGTTGTCCTCAAATTTATTCATACCCTCCCATTAAAGAAGGAAAAGAACAGCTGTCACTGAAAGAAGTTGAAATTGACAAAAGTACTAAAAAAATAAAAATGTAATGAAAATCATGACATTGCTTTTGAATTGTGGTTCAACAGAAATAGTGAAAAAAACAAGCATGATGGGATCCGTAAACTAATATTTAGTTGAACAACCCTTTGAGCCAATCACTGCAGTCAAGTGTTTTCTGTAACTCTCAGTCAGACTTCTGCACCTGTTGACAGGTGTTTAGATTTTGGCCACTGCTCATCAGCAAAGTGTCTAATTTGTCTGGGACAGTTTTTTTTTGTTTGTTTGTTTGTTTTTTTTATGATTCTTTTCTACCACAATTCAAAAGCAATGTCGTATTTCACTGAATTATAATTTAACAAATTTTTATTTATTACTACTTTTTTCAGTTTCTAGTTATTTGAGTGACTATTGTGAATTTTGCCTTTTCTTTAATGGAAGGGTATGAATATATTTGAGGGTGACTGTATGTTGCTAAATCCTATCATCCAAAGCATCAATGATTATGTTCTATTAGTTTAAATTGTGAGACTTTGTCCAGTCTTGTTGCAGACCTTAACCTCTCCCCTTCAGGTACGTGTGCATCCGTGGCGTGTTCATCCTGACCACAGAGTGTGCCTCGCTCACCGTCACTCTGGTGGTGACGCTCAGAAAGTTCCTCAGCCTCATCTTCTCCATCATTTACTTCCAAAACCCCTTCACCACCTGGCACTGGGTGGGCACGGCGGTGGTGTTTCTGGGGACTCTGCTGTATACGGAGGTGTTGAGCAGCGTGCAGGCGGCGCTTCGTGGACCCGACGCCAAGAGGCAGAAGAAGGCCGAGTGACGGAGCAGAGACTGGTGATGGAGTAGAGAATCAGCCACTGTGTTGGACTTAGAAATAGGTTTTATTCGATTAACCTCCAGCAGTTTTATACAGTTGAGGACATTTTTTTTGTTTTGTTTTCACAGTTCGGCATCGTGCGTCTTAACGGAACCACACAGGAATACGGACACACATCGGCCCATAGGATGAAACTGGTGGTCATTTTTTGCTGTCGCGTTTGTTATCCTCGTCAACGAATCCCATGAAAAGACCAAAACCAAAGTGTTACGATACATTCACACATACGGATGCAAAGGAGGTCTGGGGGTGTGTTGTACTGAACACATAATTTACACGCTCTGCCCCGACTGGGCGGTCGTTGTCTTAAATGCCAAACCTTCTCCACAGTGTTAATCCTGAGTATGCAGCAGTGCTATTGACAGACCTGTTTACATCCCTGGACTTGTTGCACCTATTGGGTTTTCAGTGTAGAATTTTTTAAGAGCATAACCTTAATATTTAGAATAGTCTAGTAAATTTGTATTTTATATGTAATGCTGCAGGTTCTTAATAGTAATATTTAAATTAGTCAGGTTCATTTCTATATTAATATTGCAGGTTCTTAACTTTTATAGGTACATTTATATGTTAAACAATATTGTAGGTTCTCAACCGCAATATTTAAACCTGTCTTATTTCTCTATTGGAAAGAAATTTAGCTCAACGTCTGTCGTTTTAAATGTGCTGTATAAATAATCGGGACTTGACTGTTTAAATGCAACAAAAACGGCAAAGCTTGCATCTGAGCTGGAAGCGATCCTGCTCAGTGGCCTGGCTGTCACTCTCGCTGCATCACAGGATAATTACATAAAGCTGAGCCTTTCTCAACTTCACCCCGTTAGTGCAGCAGGCCACTTTTTGAGTCTGTCCAGCTCGGATGCAGGGCTGAAAAGGCCAGATCTCGTTCACAATGAATAGCAGCTGATGCTGTCCCACTTTTTTTTGAATCCATATGTGTGAATGGCCCGTTGTGGGTGCTGCTTTAAGAGGTCACAGTCAGTGTTTTTCCTGTAATGGATCACATGACTACTGACGTAAGATGAGCCACTTGTAGTGACGAACCAGCTCTGCAGGCCCTCTCAGCTGCACACAGATTTATCGCCTCGTTTCAGCTCATTGTTTTGGCTTTTTGGACCACAGCCTTACCGTTTGGCTTCACTCTCACCACTTTGGGTCCCTTTCGACTGCAGAAGGCTGGAACAACCTTCAGAACACACTCTTTTCAAATAGCAGATAGACCATAGAACTTAGAAAGGGATGACATGCCCAGAGCTGCAATGATTAATCAGTTAGTTGTTTAGCAGGTATTTTTATCATTAACTTGAAGTGTTTGTTTTTTTAATGCAGAGCTATATACTATAATCAGCAGAGTAAAGGATAATAGCGAGTGAAACAAATCAGTTGCTGCAGATTTAAAAACAACTGTGTAATTTCATCTGTTTAAAATAGTTGAAGACGTTCTCAACACAGCAGGCCATAGTGGTTTTTAGAGTCTATTTTAAAAATCAGATTAATGTGTGATTGGAGGCCTGATGAGCCACTGGCAGCTGGAATCTGTCACCCAGTCTGTGGGTCACTGGTGGGTTTTAACAGTTTAAAGACTCCACACAGGAGCAAGACACCCAGGCTGAAAGCCACACCGACAGGATCTATTTTTGTTTTGTGTCTCCAACTGTGCACCTTGTGTGTCATTCCACGTCTCTTTGTGGTCATATGTTCATCACCAATCCTTCTCCTGTGCTTCTCGTTTTGATTTTTTGTTGTTGTTGTTTTCCATTTCTGTGGTCCTATTTGTCTCATTTAGTTGTTTTACATCCTTTTGTCACAATTTAGTCTCTTTGTTGTCATTTTACATCTCTTACGCTTCTGATTTCAATTAGTTTTTTTTTGTTGTTGTTTGTTGTTTCATTCTGTGGTTATTTTTGGTCATTTGTGTCCCATTTTGGCAATTTTACATCTCCTAATATCTCTTTTGTCTTTGTTGTCATTTTACATCCCTTATTTAGTTTATTTGGATAGTTGTGTTTCTTTATGGTTGTTTTTGTCCTATTACGGTCATCTTGTGTTTCAGTTTAGTCATCCTTTCAAAGCTATTCTACGTCTCTGTGGTTACTTCATGTCATATATTGGCCGTTTTACATTTCTTTGTTGTTATATTACGGCTCTTTGTTGTCATTTTACATCTTGTTGTTGAAATTAGGGCTCTTTTGTGTTGTGTTTTAGTTATGTTGCGTCTTTGTTTGGGATCTATTATAATTCCTAAATAAGATGAAGCCAGGAGCGCCCTGACTCCTGTCCACTGATCTGTCCATGCTGACAGCAGGATTCATTCATTGTTGGTTTTGGTCTTTTCATTGGATTTACAGACAACAAGAAAAACACTAAAGACGCCAGACTTTCTCTCATTTAACATTAGCAACTCGTTATCATTCACAGATGCAAAGTCATGGTGCTTTTTGTTTCGTGGTCTCCGATTTAGTTTGAATATTTATTTTTTAAAAACTGACCGCTAACCCGCTCCATGTCAAGGGCCATCAGTAGGATTTGCACTGAACACAATAATGTGATGCTGAACGAACTGAAGCCGTTGATGTTTGAGCAGCAGCAGCTGGAGGCGGTCAGACTGTGTGAATGTACAGAGGAGTGAATTATGCACATCATCCAGTCACTGTGTCCTTGTCTTATTGTCTCAGGTGTGTTGGACCAGTTTTTTTGTCAACAATAAACCTTTACACTCCCTGACCAGTGAAAATTAAAGTGAAGATCATTGAGCCACCAGAGCTGCAGGATCACCTCTCATAACAAGAGCTGCATGCTTCTTTTGTTTACAGTGAAGTTTCATTACTATTTCATGCTGGGACACTATGTTCCCTCACGTTTCACTGACTTCAAAGCCGGCCGACCAATCAGGAGGGGCGTTGTTCAGCTGCGTCCAATGGCAGCGGCTGTTGTTGTCGCGCGGAGGTGGGAGGGGCAGTTTTGTTGCGGCTGTTTGGGTTTGATCTCAGGGAGCGCACATCCACGTTGTGGATTAAATAATCTCGGTAGCCGGAGACAGCGTTGAGGAGCTGCAGCTGAGGGAGGGGATGGGAGGAAACGGCCCGAGTCACTTCTCTCAGGAGGATGAAGGCGGTGGAGTCACTTTTGTGAAGGGCATTCGGGTGAGTTAAAAGCTCCGGAAAAACTAAAGGTGCCTGCAGGCGGTTGGTTCAGCAGAGACAGAGGCTGCAGAGGGCATCAGAGTCAGTGTCTCCTTCAGTTTCACGTTGAAAGCCTTTTCATTCCTCATGAACTCACCCTCTGTTAGTCACTGAGCCCAGAGTTAAATATAGAAAGTCAATAAATACCTCTGAGAGGAAACACTCTTTCTGCTTTCAAGATCTTAAGCAGAATTTCTTTTAATTGTACATTTTTTTGTAATATCCTATCATGACAACACCTGTATGAAGAAACAAAATGAGTCATTTTCCTTCTCATTCAGTCTAATTAGAGCTACATTGGAGCTCATATACAGTGGTAATAATTCAACACTTAATGGATTAAAAGTTTGCTCCAGCTGCTAAAATTTAGATTTTTTCAATTGTTAATGAAGCTTAGGAGATAATTGCAATTTAAATAACAAGATGCAGGTTGAAACATCCCACTGTGACATTCCTCTGTTTCTGTCTTTTAGCTGCAGGTTAATTTTTTATCATTCAACACTTTGTTTCTGTTTCTGGACCAGCTGACTTAGGGTGAAGGCAGGGGACACCCTGGACAGGTCATCAGTCTGTCACAGGGCTACACTTAGAGACAGACAGCCAAGCACACTCACATTCACACCTACAGACAATTTAGAATCACCAATTAACCTCAACATGTTTTTGGACCTTGTGGAAGGAAGCCAGAGAACCCGTGCTGCACGGGGAGAACATGCAAACTCCACGCAGAAAGATCCCAGGTGCCCTTCCTGGGACATATTCTAGCTGCGAGGCGACGGTGCTAACCACCGAGCCACCTTGCAGGCCTCATGTGCATATGTAGACATTAATTTCCAAAACTTGGAATTGAAAAAATAAGCGTCCTAACATAGGTAATCACCTGTTGAGGTTTCCTGGTGATATTGATCATTTAGAGTTTTGCCTAAAAGCAGAAGTTTCAAATGAAAAATTGTTAACGTTTACAATACATCTTTCTATCTTTGAAGTCGGTTATTTAAAGTTAGTTTTTTTTTTTTCTCCTACTCTGAACCATAAATCTCCTCTTCAGTAGCACCTAGACACACCAAACTTTCCAGTTTTATTCCTGTCTATGTCCTGAAGGTTTCTACCGAGGGCCTTCTTCATATATCTTTCATAGCCTGATTTATAAACACATTTTATTCTTAAAAGCAAAGTGATTTTTTTCCTGGTTGTTGGCAGTAGTGTCCAATTTCTGGTATGATTAAAAAACAAATCCAAAATCCCTTGTGTAACAAAAATTTTGAAGCCAGCGTAATCCAATATTCAGATTTTTGTTCTGGCAAATTAGTGCATTTTTATATGTATAATACCTCATTTGCACATTTAAATATAACATTTCAATAATATTGTAATACAAAAAAACAACAACATTGTCTTATTCTGAGTAATCAGTTGGGGATTTCTTATGTCAGTATTAGATAAAAAATGTTACCCTATTCACCTGCAGTGTCTTTCCCTGAATAATAAAAAGATGTGTGCACTAATGCTACTAATTTGCATAGTAAATGACATTTTCAGTATTTGTTGTCATTTTAAATGTTGGTTAAATAAAATTATAGAGCGTGCTGAATACAAATATGGAGGACAGGTAATCTGAATGTGACATGTATTTCCAGCATTTACTTCTTGTTGTATCACAAACCCAGGAATGTAATCCCACTGACTCACTTACTGTTCAATATATTTCCTTGTTTAACTGTATGTTGAATCTTCTAAAACTACACAGGAATGGTTACCGCTTATGCTGCATATAAAACACACAATACTTACACAGGACTTGAACCCTCAGATTCATGATTATAATCAAAACCCTGCAACGAACAGATACGTGTAGAGTTCAGCTCCACTAAACTCTCATGTTAGTGTTAATGTTAATTTTTGATTTAATATTGCCCTGTTGTCCTCTCCAGATTATGTTAAACGTGTTCAGCTCTGTTGACAAAGGTATCACTGTTTTGTATTTCTTAGTGTCTATTTGATGCTTTTCTTTACTGTGATTGATGTGATCAGTTTATGAGGTCTGTGTTTCAAACTCATGAAATTAACCAAACTGATCTGAAGAGTTGTCTTGACAAAACAAACTAGAACCTGGTTCATCTTGTTAGATTAACTCACAACAGGTTTTGCTCTTCTAAAGTCATCACTATAAAACATCTCTCACGATGGGTTTAATGTGGACGACTGTGTTAGCACGTTAAAGTCCCTCTCCTTTGTTTCTACAGATTAAACCCTAAAAGCTCACCACTGTGTATCTGAGTTGCATATTTAAAAGTTTTTGTCCACGACGATAATTTCCTCATGCCTTAAAATGGCTGAAATGGAACACTACACCAATGCCATACATATGCAAATGTAATTTGAAGAAGAAGAATGATACAGAAAGTCTCACCCTAAAAGCTGACAGGATTTTTTGTTTGCATTTGTTAAATATGAGACTCTGGAAGTCTGTAGTTTCACTGTAGTTTTAAGGTGGAAATACTCAGCCATGGCATTAACTGCTTATTTTGCTTAGGATGCATCTTCCAGCATATAAAAAAAAACACCTTATGGACTAACAAGGTACAAAAAAAAAACATAGGGGGTCTTTAACTTTGGTCAAACCTGCAGGATTTCCTGAACACAAACCTGAATTACTGAAGTAAGCCGGGCTTAACTGCTCGTGCTTTACTAAACGTTCCTCACGGTGTTTTTCTTTACCCATCAAACCAAAAGCAAAAACAAACAAAGCTGCACAAACAGAACTTTTCACAGCAGCAAAGCAGCAGCCAGATGTATCAAAGTAAAAGTAAATGTTCATTTTGCTCAGCAGGTGGCGCTCATCATCATTTTTCTTCTTCTTCCTTCAGCTGTCAGACAAAGTCATCAACCGGATGAAACAGTCTCCAAAGGTTGCCTGTCCTCACTTTGCACCTGATCCAGAAACCCCAGCGGTCACTTCGGTTCCTGCTCCTGCTGTGGAACACTTGTCACCTCTTCTGTCACCTGCTTCATCCATCCCTACTCCTCCTCCTCCTCCTCTGGAAACTCCACCCTCACCTCCATCAGCGGAACCTGTTCCTCCTGTAAAACTAGTCCCTCCTCCTCCGGTGAAGTTTCACTCCCTTCCTCCGACCTCTGTGGAGCCTGAGGCGCCTCCTCCAACTCTAACCGACCCTGTTGTCTCAGCTCCACCTCCATCCCCATCTCCTCCACAGGTGGAAGTGCATGTGGAGCCTGAATTTCTTCCTTCACCTCCTGCTGCGGAGCCGATCGTCCTACCACCGGTTGACTCCTTCGTCCCACATCCTGTAGAACCAGAAACCCTGACTTCACCGCTGATCACAGAACCGATCATCGAACCTGTCATCATCCCTCCACCTGTAGAGTCATCTCCAGAACCTGTGGCTCCACCTGAACCTCCATCTCCTCCCCGTGAACCTGAAACACCAGTGGTCCTCCTGGCTCCACCTGAACCTCCATCTCCTCCCTGTGAACCTGAAACACCAGTGGTCCTTCTGGCTCCACCTGAACCTCCATCTC